AACTGAAAACAATCACCGTGTTCGGTGCTGAGCCATTGCCAGACACAGAAAGCTTATTTTCAATGCTAGCAGGTCATAAACTCATTTCCAAGGGATATTGGCAGGTACAAAATCGCTTATAATGTTCTCTAGTTAATGGAATTCGCGACTTCCAAATTTTTTTATCAGTTTCAAGTCATGCCTCTAGATTTAGTCAACACAAGTGGGTTTTGCGTTCGTCTCATGCGTAAACTGTCAAACGGTATGAAAAACGTTTACAGTTTTGTAGATGATATCTTTGTTTATACATATACCGATATCTTTGTTTATACATATACCTGGGATGAATAGGTTAAAGTATTTAGGGATCTCTTCGATAGACTTCACACTGCTAATCTTACAGCTAGGCCCACGACATTTGCTATAGTATATTTTAACTGAGAATGTTTGGGCCATCTTGTAAGTGGACAATAACAGTCGAAACTTTGCCCAGACAAAATAGGATCAAACAGCGATGCGTCTAGACCAAAAACCAAGAAACAAGTTAGATATTTATTAAGTTTGATTAGGCTTTACTGGAAAGTTTGTTCCCAATTTTGCGACTATTGCCAGCCCATTAACAGACTTGATTATGAGAGAGTAACCTAAATTGTTCCGAGAGGGGGTCAGAAATATTAGCTTAACGCTTCAAAAAAAGAAACTAATAAGTGAACAGATCTTAAAGTTGCCAAAATGGAATAAAACATTTGTGCTGAAGACTGTTGTGTCCGATAATGATCTTGAGCTGTTCTGCTGCAAGAGCAAGAGGTGATGAAAATGCCAATTTAGAAAAATGTGGGTTCTGATTATTTTTTTAGTAGTATGTAATGAACAGATCAATTTTTTCAGCATTTAAGATTTAATATTTTAATAATTTTTATGTTTACATTCCATGATTTTTCTAAAAGTGCTGCCACTTTTTAAAGGGGGACGCATTGTCACAGAAATGTAAAAATCCTTCTATTTATTAAATATTTGTATTCGGTTTTCGTTTGCTTTTGTATCGTGGACAAAATACTTTTAGTGTGATTGATGTATATTGTAAACTTTTTGAAATATTGAGTTTGGTTCATCTTTGCTGCACGTGCGAAGTGCTCTCGATGGGGAAAACAAAACAATTGACCTCTAGCGCACAGACGATGTACGGCTGCATCGTCTATATGTACATGCCTCACCGTAAGGAGATATCTTCACATTACGGAACGCCTTGTCAGTAAGCAGTATGCAAAAGGGACGCAAGAAATTGACACAACTAGGATACCAGTTAAAAAAGACCTAGAATAAGTGGAATAATGGCATCCTTTCGAATACAGAATAAAGACTTTGTGGATTTAGCTGCCAGTATTAGTGCAACCAAGAATGGATTTATATTAAGACCAAAGGTAATTGTACCAATAATGCCATATGGAGAAATGGAAATAGTTGGTGGAACAATAGTGATTACGAAACCAGAACCCTTTCTAAGAAAAAAATAAGAAAAGAACAAGAGAACTGCACGTAGTGGACATACTAATGGAAATTCTTTTAGAAGTAACAGTGGAAAGATTTCAAAAAAGTTTAATATTAAATTGCACAGTGCGAGACTGGACAATATTCCATGTTTTCAAATAAAGAATGGTATCAAAATTATAGAGATTGAGAGAGAAAAAAATGTACTTAAAGAAGGTTTTCTATTTGCACGGGTTTCTAGGTAAACGGTGGTTTAAAGGAAGCATCTTCCACAGGAAATGCTACAAATGTGGACAATTTGGGCACACGCCAAATAAATGTCGAGTAGAACAAGAAAATGCACATAAACTCCAACAGATACAACAGACAAGACATATCAGCGAGATAGCGATATTTCCGAAACAAGCAAAACAGCAGAAAGTGACAGAAAAACAACACAAACTAATCAAATACAACAAAAAGAACAGATGGTGCATGAAGAACTGCAACATCAACAACAACAACAAAACAGCACAAGGAAACCAACTGCAAAAGACCAAAGCTCAATCTACACCACCACCAACACAACAACAACAGCAACAAAAGTGAGAAGCACAATCAGGCAGAGATACAAATGGCAAATAGACTAACGAAAAAGAAGGGAAAAAAGCAAAAAGCGAGAAAAGCATTGAATAAAGGGGAATCAACAACTGAAGTAACAGAAACATCAACACCAATAACGAAAAAATAAACTATCCAGAGATTAAATCCTAGAAGTAACACACTATAACCTAACAGAGAAAGAAGATCAATAAATGCAACTAGTATTTTATGGACATAGATGAGTTCTTAGATGATAAATAAAGAGTTAATATAAGAAAGAATTTTGCAATTGCTAACATCATTTATATTATTAAGCCTTCGGGTATGCATAAAGTTTAGCCTTTGGGTAAATAAATTTAAGCATTCGGGTATGTATAAATTTAAGCCTTCGAGTATGTATAAAGTTAAGCCCTTCGGGTATATATAAAGTTAAGCCTTCGGGTATGTATAAAGTTAAGCCTTCGGGTATATATAAAGTTAAGCCTTCGGGTATGTATAAAGTTAAGCCTTCGGGTATGTATAAATTTAAGCCTTCGGGTATGTATAAAGTTAAGCCTTCGGGTATGTATAAAGTTAAGCCTTCGGGTATGTATAAATTTAAGCCTTCGGGTATGTATAAATTTAAGCCTTCGGGTATGTATAAAGTTAAGCCTTCGGGTAAAAATAAAGGAAGGTGGGGCCACCGGAATGGCCTGAAAATATCAGATGAGGGCAATTCCTCTTAAAAAAGGAAATCAATATGGACGTAGATTAGGGTTAACGGATACAATATTTATAAGGAACTACCAGAAATAAATTTCGACTAATAATAATACAATGGACACAAGGAACCACATAATCATGAATGGAACGGATATGGACTCTAAGGCAATGAAGCAACAAAATTATATAAAATTGATGAACTACTAAAGAATTTCAAATACACTAAGCGATGATGAGCTTTCTTCCTGTGATGACCAGTGAGAAAGGAGAAATTAGACATACTGACTTTATTACGAAATTGAACGGATACGGCTTCATGATTCAGAATGTTACGTAAGAAATGTGGACTATTGATTTAAATAACTTGGAAATGAATTCAAAGAACATTTACTTACCAGGAACAGATAATTAATTTAACTTTGTAATTGCACATACAGCTATAACATATTCGATAACCTTTAATAAATACCTGCATAATTGATATAACTTGATTTATAACTTATTCTAATTGCACTCAAATCTTTAATACAATTGATACGCTTAATAAACTTTACCTAATTTAACCGCACTTATTAGAACTAAAACTTTCCAAAGGATTAATGAATACTGTAACCAATGAATACCATATTCAAACCTTTAACATTTTTGATCTACGATCAAAATTGACAGACTAGAACTAAAAGATTTATTCATGCATTGGACAAGAAACTCGTTGTACCTGAGCTAGTGTTCACGTCATCGAGGAAGCTAGTGTGAATGCTGCTCCTGCCTAATTAAGATCCCAAAACAAAACCATTCAAGAAAGCAGGTAATTATATTTATTCATTTATGAAAAATATTTTTACTAATAACAAATTTAGAACTCGACTTATTTAAAATAAGTTAATATGTGACTATAATTATCAATTAAATAACTCTAGGAATTGGATACATTAAAAGATACGGTTGATTTGAATGGTGTATACTCCCTAACTCAACATTTAATAAAATCGAAAATCAATAAACGTAGCACAAAAAACGAAACAGAAACATGAATAATATGGTGTTTCTCATAAGATAATCTGAGAGTAATCACACCAATAAATTTAGGGACTTGCACATCTTTAGCTGTATGCAAATTATTTATTAATTTCTTGTAAGTTGTAACTATTGTTCTAAGAAGTTTTTTATTTTCTATGTAGCTTTGGCTTGAAGTATAAGTACAATATTTTATATTATATTTTGTGACTTAGCAAGATATTAATATTTGCAATATAAAGTTGCACGTTCTTAAGACACTTTTAGTACCCTAAGAATCTTGTCCTAATAAATGTTCACTTCTGAACCTGTTTATTATTTTACAATGTTGTACCAATAATGTAAATTGTATAGCTTACCGTATATAACGTCATTACGTGTTATCGTATATGCCCGTGTCATGCATAGTACGTGTTGCTGAATGTATTTTCAGCTGATCGGAGTCAACATGATGCCCGCTGTAGAGCTAACCATACAAGTTGACTATAGCAACTGTAAAGCTGAAACATATCAGTCGTATAACTTAGTTTTGCTGGTCGTGTAAGCAGGTGATCAGGCTTTGCTGTTGGAATTAGTGGGCACTGCTTGTTTGACCAAGGAATGATTGGTGGTCGGTGAATTACCTATTATGCCGATTATTTGATTGACCAGCGTGACTGGCAGGCTAGTGCGCTGGTGACTGTTTGGTGTTACTCAAAAACATGTAATCTTTCAGCCGTGAGCTAATTTGGGGGTTTGTTATACCCAGTCGTTTAGGAGTGTAAATATTTTTGTATGATATATATTCCTTTGTTTTTATCACTTTACTATTTAGTAAAGGACCTTATCTTTCACCTTTTTAGTGAATGCATTTTACCAAACGAGTTCATATTTTTACTATTGAGTATTCTTGTGAAATTGCTGTGAATCGTTCACATTTGTTTTTGTACCGTGTGTATATGCGCGTGTGCGTGTGTGTGCGCGCGTGCGTGTGCGTGTGTGTGTGTGTGTGTGTGTGTTAACGTAGCTTTAAAAACTTTTCAGTCATATCGCAACGATGTCTACAGCGTGACAGTTTAAAGTGGTTTCTAGCATTGGGTCATCATGCCGCAGACATGTAGCATGATGTCCCACCAAGTCACATTATTCTGACACTAGGCCGCCCAGTATTTGAGGTATTTGGTACTTATCATATTTAACTTTGGCATTTGATCATTGATCGTCTCCAGAGGAAAAAACAAACAATTTCTAGAAGTCTTTGGTAAGACTCAACCGGCGTTGGAACTCACAACCTCCAGCATCTGAAGCGAACGCTCTAACCACTGGGCCACGCTCGTATTAATCGTATTAATTTTTCATTCAAGCCATTCATCAGAAAGCACTATTTGTAATACCATTAAACGTGGTATGTTGTGAATCCAAAACTCTACCCGGCTATCTTGTCACAAGTTAACTATTTGACTTTTGACTATAAGACCCATTTAGAACAATATTAGCTAACTGTTTGACTTTAGATTATAAGACCCATTTAGAACAATATTAGCTAACTGTTTGACTTTAGACTATTAGGCCCTTTTAACTGTTTGACCTTAGACTATCAGGCCCTTTTAACTGTTTGACTTTAGACTATCAGGCCCTTTTAATACATTGTTGACTTTTATAATATTTTAAATTGCTTCAAACGTTTTCGGTGGCAATATTTTGACTAAGTTTAAGTACTACTAGTAGTAGAAGCAGTAAGAAAAGTGGCAGAACTGCTGCTGCTCCTCTTCCTCATACCACTACTGCTACAATTAGTACTACTGGACAGCTCCAGTGGCCTAAGTGGTTAGAGCGTCCGCATTGGATGTTATAGGTCGCGGGTTCGAACCCCGACCACGTCATACCATAAACTTATAAAAAAAATGATACCAGCAGCTTCTTCTCTTCTGCTTGGCATTCAGTGTTAGGATTGGTCGGATCCGTCATCAACTTAGAAAAGTTTTCGTATGATCATTCACACACCGTTTATAACTTTTGGTAGCAATATATTCGTGATGGAGAGCTTTACATGAAGGGTCAAGTTACCTGTAAAATAATTTAATTTCTTGTTTCTTAATATTTCAAATATCTTTAATGTTAAGCAATTGTATGCACTATCCCCAACATGTTAAATCAAACTAAATGCACCACCTGACAGTCTTCATTATTGTAGATTAGTTTAAACCAGACAAATTGATACGTCTGACGCGATGTTTTAATACTAAGTACCACATACTTCAAACTTTCCTAAATATTTAAACTAATATGCAAGTAAAGAGGCTTGTTTGCCCTTATATTAAAATACTGATATTCACTTTCCAACGCAATCAAAGCAATGATTCGAAGTATTTTCAATCATGCTATAATAATAATAATAATAATAATAATAATAATAATAATAATAATAATAATAATAATAATAATAATAATAATAATAACAATTACTTATGAATTAAGACTGCAATATAGGCCAATATCGATTTATCACTGGGTTTTTTTATTGATTTATTCAAAAGCTTTCTAGACATACACAAAATCTTATAATTGACTTAAGATATTATTGCTGAGAGTACGATATTTTATGCGTGAAAAATGGTGGATAAAAAACTCTTTGAGATACTATTAATTGTTGGGATTTTGAACAATACGACATAAGATGCTGACAAGTTGTGCATCAATGCTATCTTATGTGTGTCCTAATACAAATGCACATTGTAATGTAAAACATTTTAAAACTATCAAAATAATAATTTCTGTTTGCATACAGGTAATGTTACGGTATTTTTAATTGAGGATCCTTGGGCAAGGTATACATTTCTTAATGAACAGTCTGCAGTTCGGTTTTGTCTCCTTAAATTGTAATATTGATTAATGTGTTGAATAAAGAGTATGAATGACCTCAAAATTTGTGCAGATGGAAATTAGGAGACGTTAATTTGATCTTGTTACATGTTTGACTCGGGTATCTTTAGTAAAACTGATTCAGTGACATCCCTGCTGGTTTGACGTATCAAATCTAGTGTGAATCCGCCTAATTTACTATGACAGAAATGATGAATTCTGTCAGTAAAGCTCCTTACGTGCATAAATAACTTAAGATGAAAATCCCAAAAGGGATTTGATGACAATATAGACAAGATATGCTTTTGTTTGTGTTTATGATAAATGCCAAAGTTAAATATAATAAATGTTTTAGCATTTATTAAATAATTTCAACATATGTATACATCAAAATATAGTGCTACATAGCTACTTTGTGTTAAATTAAAGCTTTCAGATAGGTTAACAAAAAAGCATAAATGCCTGTATATTGAGGCAAAGTTTCAACGGGATTAAAGTTGTGATCAAAGCCAGTTATTTCGAAGAACAACATTCAAGAGAACAATCATGTAAGTTTGTTGATTTCAAAACATCAAAAGATATTCAGGAACGCTTTAAAAGTGATTCGGATTTCAGATTTACATTTGCTTATTATTTTATTATAAGTAATGATGTTGTTGTTGTTGTTGGTGGTTTATCACCATTTTAAGACATTATATATGTAGACGATCAATGAAAACCCCAATAAATAAAAACAAATGATTGAAAACCTTTCTCGCATACCCACACTAGCCTACCCCGATACTCCAACCTACAGTGGCAGATTTTAAAAGGCAAGCACAGCATATACAAATACCAACACCACACACCATTATATCTAACACACTAACTTTATCAATGTACCCTAAGTTAATATCGGTAATGCATTAATCTAGATAACATTCGCTAACCTAAAATCACTGCAAACTAGGACAAAGGGAGGACTTATTTCCTTTCGCAATATAGTAATGGTATGCTAGAAGACGTCATCGCTAGCTTAAATAAACATTTCTGGAGTTTTGTAACCTGCATTTTACGTGAACCAGCTGCAAGCAGAACAAACATTATATTCTGCTTCTATTATTTCAGACAGTGCTAAAATGATAAACGTCTGCTATAATAACTTTATGCAGTGTTGAAATTGTAAAGGTCTGCTTCAATAACTTTAGACAGTGCTCAAATTGTAAACGTCTGTCACAATAACTTCAGACATTGCTAAAATGGTAAAGGTCTGCTACAATAACTTTATACAGTGCTAAAATGGTAATGGCCTGTTACAATAACTCCAGACAGTGCTAAAATGGTAAATGTCTGCTAAAATAGCTTTAGACTGATAAAATTGTGAAGGTCTGGTACAATAGCTTCAGACAGTACTAAAATGATAAATGTCTGCTTCATATTTGTAGACAATGCTAAAGTGGTAAACGTCTGCTACAATAGCTTTGGACAGTGCTAAAATGGTAAACGTCTGCTACAATAGCTTTAGACAGTGCTAAAATGATAAACGTCTGCTACAATAGCTTTAGACGGTGCTAAAATAGTAATGGGTATACTGATTGTAGCATGAGTGCTACTTAGATGAAATCTTTGAGAACACTTCAGGACAATATATAAAAATATCATTGGTGTAAGTTTACTAACTGCTAGAGACAATGGTGTTTATTTGTTACCAAGTGATTTGGTTTTTGAAAGCTTTTATATCACTAGTTAAATTGAAACTTTATACAAATCATGTGACATTTTAACCTGGGCGTTAAAGCTGTCGTCAAGAGTAGTAAAAGACGGTGTTTCAAAGGAGGCTAAACAGTCGTTTCTAGCAAAACAAGAAATCGAAGGGAACCAAATCACAATGGAAAAAAATCTATAACAATTATGTAGAAAGCAATGTTTATCGCAATCGTTATCCTAATAACGTTTCTGCTAATACGAACCTATAATCGGACGTTCAAGTTGCACAAGGCACTTGCAAAGAATGGACATGGTCCCATTTAGAAACAACAAAAATAACAACTAGCCTGAAAAAGCAAATAACAAATGTTATCAATACTATTGATTGCTGAACCTGACAGACTTTTCTTTTGAATTAGGCATCGAACTTCTTTTCATCATTTGCAAGAGAGCAAAGCAAAATCGTGCTCTTTTTGCAAGCTTCATTACTTCTGTCTGATTATTGTTTCCATCGAGTGCAAATAGCAACCCACAACATGCCAAAATAATAAAATAAGGTGTTGCGCCAAGAAACAAAATTTAACCATTGCTTCTAAACGACCGACTTATTACACTACCATTAATTCTTGTCAGTATTGTTGCTGCTGAAGTTTGGCAAACTAAAACAAATTACAAGTTTTTGTACATTTGCTTTAGATAGAGATTAAGTCGATTTTATCATATTACTACAATGGCAATTGATACTGCTGTTCTTTATACAGTTCTTTTATTCTTGCATCTAATGAAACTTTTTAGCTGAATTCTTCAATAATAATTTAATGTTGTCTACAAAGTTCCAATTATGTCGTTATTACAATATAGTCAAATTCGTCAGAATGCCATTTTGGTTCTGTTCTAATGCCTTTACAGGCTTTGATATAGCTTCTTTCATTTTATACACTTTTAATAATTCCAATATACTCTAGATATATCCATTACATTTGCTTTTATCTAAATAGACTCTAGCCATATTGGACATCATTCAAAATAGTTAACTGTATTTGTTTAGTGTTATGGCTGTTATATCTGCATGATCACGTTGAGTGTTTAGGCCAGATTCCCTCTCATGCAAGAAAGTGTATTTGTTTTTCAAAGTGATAAACACTTTTGTGTTTTTAGTGCATTCAGATAGATCTATGCATGAGTTTCCACTTCGCTCTTTATGCCAGTATGTACAATATCAGTAATTCTATTCCGCAAAACACTGAAATAAATGTTAAGTGACATTACTCTTTTTGTCTTTGTTCATTAGCCTAATATATGTCCTTTTCAAAAGTCTGATCGTTAAGTCTAACTCAGAATTGACTGAACCACCAACGTCGTATGGGAGTCTGGTTGTTAATAGCCTAATTTCTCTACGGCTGTTCTTCAATACGTATACTTAAATGCCATTGAAAATCGTTCTTTGATGACTGAATTTGCAAGGATTTAAGTAGAGAATCTATGCAAATTTTCATTCAGCCTACATGCATTTATCTAGTAAATATATATATATATATATATATATATATATATATATATATATATATATATATATATATATATATATATATATATATATATATAATTTATGTGTGTAATTATATTTTGTTACTGAGCGTTTAACATTTATCAAAAATATTAAAATTTCGTTCTGTCATTTTTGGAGGGCATTTATCTCTGGAGTTTTGGGTGCTTCTGACTACTAGTGGGACATTTCTCATCTCTTTGTTATGGTGGATTAGAATATATTTAGGGGCTCGGTCT